AACCTCTGGAAGTTCCAACTTTAGAGCCATACAAATTTCATTCCCTCCCTGATTCTCTCTAGCACTCCTTGTAGTCACTAATCTGTCCTCCATTTCTATAATTTTGTTATTTCAAGAATGTTATATAAGTGGAGCCACATAGTTTGTGTAAGTTTTTGCTATCAGTATTTTTACTAAGTAAAACTCTGAAAAATCATTGAGGTTTTTGTATGTATCAGGAGCTGATCCTTTCTTTATTGCTGAGGAGAATTCTGTAGCAGAAGTCCTTCAGTATGGATTGCATCTCAATGTAAAGAAAACAAAAATCCTCACCACTGGACCAATAAGCAACATTCTCATCAATGGAGAAAAGATTGAAGTTGTCAGAAACAGATTTTATGCATTGGACACTAATGACCAAAGACAAGGAAAGTTGTAGGATAACATCAAGGATATGACACAGGAAGATAGTAAAAGGTCATTAAAAATACAGGAAAGAAAGAAAAGACTAACATGGATGTCAGAAGAGACTCTGAAACTTTCTCTCCAGCACAGAGATGCTAAAGCAAATAGACGAAATAAGGAGGTAAAAGAGCTAAATAGAAATTTTCAAAGAGCAGCTCGAGAAGACAAAGTCAAGTATTATAATGAAATATACAAAAACCAGGAGTAATAAAATCAAAAGGAAAGAACACACTCAGGATTTCTCAACTGGAAATAACAGAAGGGAAAATTCAAGCTTTGATTTGTAATATCAAAGGACTCCATGGGAAAAAATGGACTTCTAGAATGGCATTGTAGGATCTGCACTGGACTTTAACCGTAAAGTATGCAGTTCAAACCTACTAATTGCTCCTTGGAAACCCTATACAGGGTTGCTATGGGCTGGAATTGTTTCAATGGCACTTAACAACTACAACAATGGTCAAAATATTGAATGATGCAGAAAGACTCAAAGAAAGATGGAAAGAATATGCATAATCACTATACCAAAAAGAAATGGTCAGTGTTAAACCATCACAATACGTAACAAATGATCAAGAACCAATGGTACAGAAGGAAGAAGTTCAAGATGCAATGAAGGCATTGGTGCAAAACAAGGTCCAAGAGCTGATGGAATACAAATTGAAATATTTAACCAAACTGATGCAGCATGAGAAATGCTTACTTATTGATGACAAGAAATTTGGAGATGGCTACATTGCCAATGGATTGGGAGAGATCCATATTCGTGTCCATTCCAAGGAGAGTTGACCCAGAAGAATGTGCAAATCATTGAACAGTATCATTACTATCACATGCAAGTAAAATTTTGCTCAAGATAATTTAAAAATGATTGCAGATGTATGACAGGGAGTTGCCAGAAATTTAAGCCAGATTCAGAAGAGAACATGGAATGAGGGATATCATTGCTGATATCTGATGGCTGTTGGCTGAAAGCAGAGAATATTAGAAAGATGTTTATTGGTGCTCTTCTGAACACAGATTTTGACCTTACCTGCTTCCTAATTGCATGAGCCCTTTCCTTGGAGTAACTCTCTCTACATATACTTAATTTATATGCTGCACTTATGCCTGGAGAATCCACAATCTCATTATTTCTTCATTGAAGGTGAATATCTAATTAAATTTACACATTTTTGCTACAACTTGGACAGCCTGTTAACTTATGTGTGCTTGATGCTCTTTCCAAGATTGCAGCAATTTTCAACTTCTTCTTTATCTAATCATCTAATAAAACAAAGCTAAGAGTAGCATCTAATAAAACAAGGCTAACAGTAGCATCTGCCTCATGAGGCTGTTTCAATGCAAAGAGCTTCATCTAGCATCTAGCACAAAGTAAAGGCACAAATATGATAGTTTTTGTGACTTTTCAGTAATAATAATATAATGATCATTTGGTCCGAACTAAACAGGTAGTGTAACTCTGGGATTAAACAACTGAGTTGAAGACTATCTCCTTGTCTTTGCTCACCCCATTAGAATCCAGAGAACTCTTGGTATTGAGCCACAAGTGGTCAGGGCAGAGGAGACATTGGAGGGTGTGAAGTGTGACATTCTTATTCTCATTTTATAAATGAGGACGTGGAGGGCCAAGAAGGAAGAGCCTTCAACCACAAAACAGTCTGAATCTCCTGGTCATTGCACTTTTCTGTTCTCTTCATTCTCACTACTCTTCATTCTCAGGAATATGGCTACAAGTGTAGCAATTGACTTGCTCTTTTACCTGTGTCCAAGCTCATGGGCAATCGTGAAAGCCAGTGGGAGTCCAGAATCTTCATTGATGTTACAGCTCTGGTGAGGCTGGCACATTCCTGACAGATGCGACAGACCCAGGGTCTCACATGGACGATTGACACCAGCACAGATGTCTTTTCTGGAAGCAGAGAACAGAGATGCTGAAGAGCCCAAGGCCATGTCTGAGAGAGCCCTTCTGAAAAACTGCAGGGTACTAACTCACACTCAACATGGGCAGAAAAGCATGCTTACAGACCAACACTGCCCATGCAAATGTACGAACTAATTTTGAATTCATTATGATGATTCTGATTTAATTTCTTGATTATTGATTCTCACTGACTGTAAAAATATGATGTTTTGGCACAGGCTTTACTTGGAGCTGCTTTTGCTCTTGATATCTCAGGAAGCAGAATTATATTATTTGGTTAAAAAGAAAAGGATTTGATTGAAACGATGTTAATTTGAACTGTTAAATAGGGATAATCAGTGGTGGGTGTGGCTTTTCAAATACATAAAATCTATTTTGCTCTTTCTGATGTCTATGGTTAAAATTCACTACAGAATGTTTTCATTCACGAAAAAGGAACTGTTCCTATCCAAAGAAAGCATATTATCTACCTAGCCCCACTAGTCCAACGATATTGTATATGTCATGCACATACACACACACACACATACCAGAACTTCACTATAGTCCTGAAACCAGATAAAAGTTACTCACCATTTTATCGCAAGAGACCTATCTGCATCTTCTTTCCTTGGCCCCACCTAGACAGATCTCAGTGGAGATTCTACCTTGCTCCATGCTCTCTGGATCTAGGGTCCATCTTGAAAACTTGTAAGTCAGTCACTTCTTGCCTCCATAGCCCCCCATTTTGGCTAGCCAATGTCCAAGTTGCCCATCCCTGTCCTCTCCGTGTGTGGAGGGGGTGGAAATGATCCTCGCTGTTCACAGCTTTTTTTCCCCCTCTTTTAAGCTACTGCATCCATAGGTGTAGGTCAAGTTTATCAAATTGTATCACATTATTCTTTTTTTCCTCTTCTTTCTTCTTCCAGTTGAGCTCTGATCATCCATCCAATGAAGCCAAGTCAAGTGGATATTATCTGCAATTGTGGCTGTACTCATGCATATGCCCTCTCTTCTTATCAGCTGGATGCTTCACTTTCCACTCTAGTCCTCTGTGGCTATGTCACCGACTCTGGGCCCAAGAGTCCCCAGGTCTTGCCACACTGCTGGCCAACCAGGTCTTCATCCGGGTTCACAGAAGTCTATTGAACATTGTAGGGCTTAGATCGCCGCTTCATTGCTGCTTTTCTCTCACTTCCCCTTATCGGTGATGAACACTGTCACCAATCAGAGCGTGTATTTCTATTGAGTCTTGTCTTAGAAGGAGGTCTGCCCTGAGGGGACCCGACCATTTGCCTTGATATCTCCTGGGCAAGCCATTTGTTTGTTCTTGTAGTAATCAGTTGATTTACCTGTATTGTTTTGTATTTTTCCTGTCAGTCTTTCTTTCAAGAAATATCTTCTGTTCTTCTGGCTGCTCCAGGCTGGTCTGCTTGTCCTTTCAAGTGGAAATTTCCCCTCAAATGATTCTGGGTGCTGTTCAGGACTCCACCTATGGTCTTGTGTAATTCAGA